GGGGGACACGGGGGACACCCCCGGGGGACGAGGGGGACAGGGCAGCACGGAGGGCGGCCCGGGCTCACGGCGGCCACAACCACGTGTGGCAGCGTCTGCAAGGGGACATGCGGTGGCGTCTGCATGGGGGCAAGTGCCAGTGGGGACCGCGGTGGGGACAGTGGGGACGTGCCAGCACCGGGAGCATGTGCACGTCTGCGTGCATGAGCGTGCAAGGATGCACACACGCATGTGCACGGACACACGTATGTGCACGGGCACACGCATGTGCACGTCCCTGTCCCACAGGCCCTCCCTGGCCGCGGTCCCCAACAGGGGGGGACACCAGCCATGTCGGTGACGAGCCCTTCGGACCCGGAGAGCAGCGCGTGCCAGCACCGGGAGCATGTGCACGTCTGCGTGCATGAGCGTGCAAGGATGCACACACGCATGTGCACGGACACACGTATGTGCACGGGCACACGCATGTGCACGTCCCTGTCCCACAGGCCCTCCCTGGCCGCGGTCCCCAACAGGGGGGGACACCAGCCATGTCGGTGACGAGCCCTTCGGACCCGGAGAGCAGCGTGGGCAGCAGCCCCGGCCCGCGCAGCCACCGGGCCACCGAGAAGGAGGACACGGAGGCCGAGGAGGAGAAGATCTGCGCCGTGTGCGGGGACAGGGCCACCGGCTACCACTTCCATGTCATGACGTGCGAGGGCTGCAAGGGCTTCTTCAGGTGGGACAGGGGGACAGCAGATGGGACAGGATGGGACCAGGTGGCCGGATGGGGCAAGATGGGATTGGGTGGGAGGGGACGGATGGGAAAGGACAGGATGGGACAAGGCAACATGGAGAGGGACAAGATGGGGCAGGACAGGATGGGAGAGGACAGAGCGGGATGGGGCCATGTGGAGGGATGGGACAACATGGAATGGGGCAGGACAAGAGCGTCAGGATGACCCATAGGAGGGGATGGGGACAGAAAGGATGCTCGGTGGGATGAAATGGGACAGGACAGGAAGGGATGGGACAAGAGGGGACATAAGAGGGGGTGCTCAAAGCCAGGCCCTTCACAGGGTGCTGGCACCCAGGGGTGCCCCCATCCCAGCACATCCTGCTCCAGCGTCACCGTGGGCACAGGGTGGCCCCTCTAGGCACTGGAGGGGCGGTCTGGGGGACAGGGACATGGGGACGCTGTGGCCGTGGCCACCCTGCTGCCTGTCCCCGTGTCCCTCCAGGCGCTCCATCAACAAGGGCGTCCGCTTCACGTGCCCCTTCACGCGGAGCTGCCCCATCACCAAGGCCAAGCGCAGGCAGTGCCAGGCCTGCCGCCTGCAGAAGTGCCTCGACGTGGGCATGAGGAGGGACAGGGAGTGCGGCCGGCCCCGGTGGCCCTAGGGGACAACGGGGACAGCGGGGGGTGGCGGGGAAGGGGATGGGGGTGAAAGGCAAGGAGTGGAGAGGGAAGGGAGGAGAGGGGGGGACCCACGTGGGACAGAGGGGATGATACTTGGGCGGAGGGGACAACATGGGGGACATTGGTGGCACAGAGGAGGACACAGGAGCAGAAAGGACAGGGAGGAGCTATGCGGGGACGTGAAGTAGAGGGGACGATGGGGTGACCTGGGCGGCACAAGGGGGGACGCAGGGGCAGAGAGGACAGTCCGGAGAAGGTGGCAGACAGGGATGGGGGTGACCTAGGGGAGCAACACGAGGTGACAGGGGGGACAGACAACCCCAGGGAGATGCAGGGAAGCGGCCGGGGGGGATCCGCGGCGGGGGGCCCCGGCGTCCTGCGTGATGGCGCCGGGGCCGGCGGCAGTGATCATGTC